TTGCAGCGACTGCCAACTACTCATCACATCCTATTTTAAAGCCCCTTCCAGGCCTTGAGCATCTGCCAAGCCAACTCGGAGTTACCTTCCGATTTGTGTGTGTGCATCAGATTCAAGAACACAAAGCAGAGCTTATTATCCGACTTCCACAATTACCCGTTTCCCTTCCTACACACCCACAAGTGTGATGGGTGAGCAAATAGAAAAACCCAAGTATGTCCTACACTCTCGTTCACCTACAAAAATGTTCACTAAACAAAAAAAATTTATCTAGATTTAAAAGCCTATCTAAAATATTTGTTTTACTAAAATTCAGATGTTTCTGAAGGACAGTATTATGACCTTGACAAATTAAAAAACTGTAAGGGGAAAAATGATGAAATCAATGAGCACAGAACAGGCATTTATCATTAAAGCATCACATACTTATAGGAGTTTATTAGGCCAGGCATGGTGGCACACACCCATAATCCTAGCACTGGAGAGGCTGAGGCAGGGGGATTACTGTCCTTGAGTTACAGACTACACAGTAAATTCAAGGCCAGCCTGAAATACATAGGAAGATGCTGTCTCTAAAAACAGAAATGGTAATAGCAACAAACATATACAGGTCACTTTGTGATAGAGGCTCAAATTTTAATTTAAGTGAAGGAAAAAAAAGGAAAGAAAGAAAGAGAGTGAGTCAGGGAGTCCCCGAGGGGAAACATACTCCTAGAAGAGTGGGAGGTGAGATCTCGGGAGAGTGGACCAAGCTTCAGATCCAGGCAGGAAACCTCCCTCTCGCTCTCAGCTTCTTTCCACAGGGCTTATGTTCAAATTTGTAGTAAAACATCAGGAAAAGAAAACTAGTCTTTAATGCCAAGTTTTCAATCTTGGTAATTGCATCCAGGTAACAGACACTGACACCCAACCTGTAAGAAAAGTACCCTGCACTTACTCAGCGAGCCACTCCTATTTAACCAGTGCCTAGTGTTCTTACCACAGCTCACCAACTAGTCACCAAAACTTATGTATCAGGCCCTGAAAACTGGAGACATGACTGTAACAAAAAAAAAAATCTGCCTTATGAAGCCTATGAAAACACAGGTATTTAAAACTTACCAGTCATGGTCACTCTGTTTGCTCTTGCATGGCCTAGAGTATATTTCTTTTCCTACTTTTACTTGGCCAAAACTCACTTTGCAGAGCCTGTTCCTGTTCCCACCTTTAATAAATTTTTGCTACCAATAATTTAATAAAAATTTTTTTAAATATTTAAAAAAAATTATTGGGCTGGGGTATAACTCAGTGGCACAGCATCTGCCTGGAAAGGGCAAGGTCCTGAGTTTGATTACTAGTACCAAGCAAAAAAAAATCAGCTGTGCTGGGCATGGTAGCATACACTGTAACACCAGCTACTCAGGAAGCTGAGGCAGGAGGATGCCAAACTTGAGTACCACCTGGGCAACTTAGTTACTTAGCAAGATTCTGTCTCAAGAAGTAAAAATAAGAATAAAGGGATATAACTCAGTGTGAAGGCTCCAGGTTCAATCTCCTGTAGAGAAAAAAAAAAATTACCAACTGTACTAAATTCCATGAAGCTCACTAGGAAGCAGAGCAAGAAAAACAGAGGCTCCTGAGAAGTAGCAGTATGATTGAGGAAACCTGGTCCTTAGCACAAAGGTGCTACAGGAGAGCTTTGGTATGGCAGGAGGAAAGTGGGTCAATTTCCCAGGGAATGAGTTTTGCCCTGAGGGGATGATACATCACCCTGAAGAGATCAGGCCCCAAGTGAGGCTGCCCTTTCTGTCTCTTTCCTGCCCTGCAGCACAAGGCCTTCACCAGATGCCAGCTTAATGCTGGCACCATGCTCTTGGTCTTCCTAGGCTGGAGCTATGAGCCAAATACACGTATAATGTTTTCTTCCTTCCCAGCAAACTGTCCTTTGTTACGCATTCTGCTGGGCAAGGACAAGGTGGCAGCGCACTCCTGAGGGGCAGCCACTGGGAGGCAGAGGCTGGAGGGCCACTTGAACCCAAGGCTGAGACCTGCCTGGGCAACACAGCAAAAGCCCACCTCAGAAACACAAACAAGAATAACCCTGGGGTGGGGGGTTAGGATGTGTTACGTACACGCACAGACTCCACGTGATAAATGTGATCGTTATGTACTGCACACACGTACCAATAAGAAAAAGAAACCAACGGCCAGCATGGTGGCACACCCCTATAATCCCAGCACCCAAGAGACCAGGGCAGGAGGATTTCAAATTTCAGCCCAGCCAGGCCTACACAGTAAATTTAGGCAAGAGCCCATCTCGGAAACAAAACTACATAGTGAACTACATAACTAGTTGAACTACATAGTGAGACCCTGTCTCAAAAATCTAAGTAAACAAACCCAAACAACAAAAACTACTCAGGCCAACTACACCCATAATCCTTAATCCCAACACTGTGGGACGCTGAGGAAGAAAGATGGTAAGCTCAAACTTACCTGGGGAGTTTAGTGAGAGCCTGTCTCAATTTTTTTTTTAATTAGCGCTCTTCCTGTAAGTGCCTGAGGTGACCTGTGGAAATGGTTTGCAACTCTAGTGGCCCAGAAAACCCCTCAAAAATCCTGTGTGTCAAGAGGCTTCAACCTTTGTGTTCACTTTAAGAACACCCACGAAACTGCCCAAGCCATCAAGGGTCAGCATACCTGAAAGAGCACCACGTATCTGAAGGATGCTACATTAAAGAAGCAACATGTGCCATTCCAGCATTACAGCGCTGGAGGGGGCAGGTATGCCCAGGCCGAACACTGGGGCTGGACACACAGTCAGTGGCCCAGAAAAAGTAAATTTTTCCTGCACATGCTTAAAAATGCAGAGTAACGCTGAACTTAAGGGTTTAGATGTAGATTCTCTGGTCACTGAACATATCCAGGTGAACAAAGCACACAAGATGCGCCGCCATACTTACAGAGCTCGAGGTCGGATTCACCCATGCATGAGCTCCCCACCAACTGAGACGATCCTCACTGAAAAGGAACAAATTGTTCCTGAGCCAGAGAAGAAATGTGCACAGAAGAAAAATATATCCCAGAAGAAACTGAAGAAACAAAGACTTATGGCACGGAAATAAATTAAGCATAAAATAAATGCAAAAAAAAGTAATGCTGTTTGCCAAAAAAAAAAGGTCGTTTTAGTTTTTTCAGACACGGTCTTGCAGTGTAGTCCAGACTGGCTTTGATCTCACTATGGAGCCCAGGCTGGCCTCAAACCTACAATGATCCTGCTGCCTCAGCCTCCTGAGTGCTGGGATTACAGATGTGTGCCACCTTGTGAGGGGTGGGTGTTTTTTAAAGGGCTGGGAAGTGCAAAGGATTTGAGTTCAACCTCCAGAATGGGGGGGGGGGGACACACGGGACGACGGGACGACTCTACTAGGTTTAGCGACAACAATATTATAAATCAGGTAGCATAATAAAATATCCTAGAATTGCAAGTTCTAATTCCATTTTTACCACTTATTAAATGCACGTCAACCACTTAACCTGTGGCTGTTTCTTCACAAATAGATTTAAAACAATTTACTTGAAAATGCTGGTGTAAAATTGTAATGTGAGTGAAAATATCTATAGCAATGGCCAGCAGTCTCTTATGGGTAAAAACAAAACCAAACCAAGTTAGCTACATGGACAGAATGCTCACACAATGAACCCAAGGAGGAGGACCTAGGACAGTGGTGGGGAACCTATGGCACACGTGTTGTTTCTAAGATAAAAGATATCAACGTATGAGTTGTTTTTTCTAAACTAAAACCTCAGTATTAAGGTTTAACTGCAGTGCTGGCGCTTTGCAGTAAGTATGTGGGTCTTGCGTTGTAGTTTGGGCACTCAGTCTCTAAAAGGTTCACCATCACATGCCCAGAAAGACCTTACAAAGGGACATCCGAGTCAGTCACTGAAGGACAGGTATGTTTTTGCAGGCTGAGGGAGAAAGCAGAGAGCAGGAGGGTACTGTCTTCTTCTCTGGAGCAATTACCTCAGAGGACTCAGTCCTGTCAGCCCTACACTTCTCTGTCCGGTGACATTCGCACATGCACGGAGAAGAAGGTGCCATCCTTTCTCCACTCAGATTCAACGGCTTCAGGCTACTCTGGACTCATCCTGGCTCTGCCTGCCTCCCCCAGTCCTGTCCATCAAGGGTCACTCCCCAGATCAATGCTGGCTGCTGTCGCCCAAAGCAATACTCTGCAGAATCTGCCACGAGCCGCCACCATGGGCGGGGAAACTCATGTGTCGGTTGAGACAAAACTGAATAGAAAAACAGAACACACCAGCGCATCGCAGGCCCGAAGATGAAGGACAGCCCGGCGAAGGTATTTCAGTTTTATGTGTGTGCGGTGTGAGTGTTCTGGCTCAAGATGCAAAGTCTGTTGCTGCTGTACGCAGTAAACAAAATACGACGGAAAACAATTTCTGTTTTTGAAAAGCAGGTTTTCCTCACCAGAAAAACCCACGTTCACATTTACAGTACTAGCAGTCTTCGATTTATGCCAAGTGTCAAGAGGCCCCTCAAACCTACAGCCAGTCCACCCCTGGGAAGCTCTGGGGTAAAATTTCAGTAGCTGATTGATTGCATATACCTGAAACTAGAGAATGCAAAACTCTAGACCGCCACTTTAATTCCCTCTCCTTCGATAAATCCTCCTTGAACTTTGAGGCTCGGTACAACTTTTTTTCATCTAGTATTTCTTTTTTTTTTTTTCGGTACCCAGAATTGAACTCAAGACTTCACTCTTGCCAGGTGGGCACTTTCGCTACTGGGCTAGCACGCCCAGTTGGCCTAACACACTTGTACGTGTTTCACAAACGCGATCTGCACCAGTTGGAGGCAGCGTGCTCCACAAAGGAGCTACTGGAAGTGCGGAGGTGCCCCACATCCTGAGGACCAGGTCCCGAGGGCCCCACCCCGTCCCGAAATTTTCCCCAAAAGCTCGATCCAGGCCAGCGGTCTTGGATCTCTCCCTATCTGCTGAAAGAAAATGGAAGTGGAAGGCATTGTATCAGCGCCCCGTGCAAACCCGAGCATCGGTCTGTGGCGCCAGGAGAAGGGTCCCGGCCCGGAGCTGCGGAGCGGCCACCCCAGCTGCCTCCGCGCCCCCCAGGGGCCCCGCGGCCCCGCTCCCCGGCACGGG